AGAAAGGCTGAAAGAAAGAAAGACAGAAAGGTTGAAGGAAAGAAAGGCTGAAAGAAATGTAGGAAGAAAATTTAAAAGAAAGGCTGGAAGACAGTTAAGAAGAAAGGCTGAAAGAAAGAAAGACAGAAAGGTTTAAAGAAAGAAAGGCTGAAAGAAAGATAGGAAGAAAAGTCAAAAGAAAGCCTGAAGGAAAGAAAGACAGATAAGTTGAAGAAAAGAAAGGCTGAAAAAACGTTAGGAATAAAAGTTAAATAAAGGACTGAAAGAAAGATAGGAAGAAAAGTCAAAAGAAAGGCTGAAAGAAAGAAAGGCTGAAAGAAAGGTAGGAAGAAATGTTAGAAGAAAGTCTGAAAGAAATGTAGGAAGAAAATTTAAAAGAAAGGCTGGAAGACAGTTAATTAGAAAGATTAAAAGAAAGACTGAAAGAAAGAAAAACGGAAAGGCTGAAAGAAAGAAAGGCTGAAAGAAAGAAAGGCTGAAAGAAAGGTAATAAGTTAAAAGAAGGCTGAAAGGAAGAATAACAGAAATCTTGAACAAAAGAAAGGCTGAAAGAAAGGTAAGAAGAAATATTAAAAGAAAAGCTGAAAGAAAGGTAAGAAGAAAAGTTAAAAGAAAGGCTGAAAGAAAGGTAGGAAGAAAGTTAAAGAAAGGCTGAAAGACAGAAAGACAGAAAGGTTGAATGAAAGAAAGGCTGAAAGATAGGTTGGAAGAAAAGTTAATAGAAAGGCTGAAAGAAAGGTAGGAAGAAAGTTTAAAGTACGGCTGACAGAAAGAAAGACAAAAAGCTTGAAGGAAAGAAAGGCGAAAGAAAGGTTAAAAGAAAGGCTGAAAGAAAGAACGGTAGAAAGGTTGAAAGAAAGAAAGGCTGAAAGAAAGAAAGGCTGAAAGAAAGATTGACAGAATGTTTGAAAGCAAAAAGATTGATTCCCATGGTATTTTCGTATAAGTGAATATAAAGAACCCAACTGGAATTGGAACTCTGCTCTCCGATTAAGAATGTCGACGATTACACCACCCGCACATCCAACCTTACATAACCTAGTATTCCCAAGTGGTCAGCCATCTAGGTACTGACCAGGTACAACGTTGATTAACTTCGGTGATCGTACAGGAACCCAGCTCTCCGATGAAGAATTTAGAACCATTATCCATTACACCACCCGCACATCCAAACTTACAGCACCTGCCATTCCCAAGCGGTCACCCATCTGGGTACTGATCTGGCTCGACGTTGCTTAACTTCGGCGATCGTGCGGTAACTCTGCCCTCCGATTAAGAATGTCAAGCCATTATCCATTACACCACCCGCACATCCAGCACCTTGAAATCCCAGGCGGTCACTAATCTAGGTTTTGTTTTGGTTTATTTCGTTTTAAGCTATATCTACCCCAATTGGTTATGCCGATAAGATTTTTACAAGAGATTCGTATGACTGGAATCTATATTCTTCGTAAGGAAAGACTTTGTAGATTCGGTTTCATTGATATACTTTTGTAAAGAGAGTTGTTGTCGAGAGTCTGATTTCATTGATGTATTATTTTCAGCTTCACGATTTGTAGTGAAATTGATCTTGGCATTCCTGTTGCCATTATAATTTTTAATAGAGCCTTACTTTTTTTATATCATCCACTTTTGCTTTGTTGGACGGCTCATACATATTGCTTATATTATAACTAGCCAACATACCCAATGTTGCCCGGGTGTACATGGCTGAAATTGTATAACTGCACGCCCTGTATACCCGCAAACCTCCTGTCTAGAAATGTCTGTGTCCCCGCTTTCATGCATCATCCATTAGTATATTAAGCCTCCCCTCATCTTCGCAAGTGTTTGATTATTCATAATAAAGGGATTCCATCAATAAAAATCTTCTAGTGTGATAGTAGCTCGGGGTCAAATTGTTTCAATGTTTTAGATATTCAGTAAATTTCCTATGGCCGTAATAACTTTCAAATAGTTGTTCACAAATCTAATAATCAACCGAAAACTGGGATGAAGCGTCCGTGCTTGATTCAACTGCAATGGCAAAGGCATGGACTCCCCAATCCTTTATCGCATGCTTACAGTAAATTTGGGGTAATAAGAGGTTCTTCGGGATTTTTTTTCTCTTTTAACGTTTCATTTATCCTTCTCAAATAATCTTTGCTTCAAAGGTTGTTCGAATGCCAATTTAGAATAGAATCATGCATAAACTATTGGCTAAATGACAAAAGCCAATTTTGGACCTAGTTTCACGCAGATTTCGTCCACTTAACTGAACGAATCTAAACCAAACATTCACGCAAGACAATTTGTTTGTCATACGTAATTTAGATGACAAATTTGGAAAGCATATGATGAAAAATCGCCGGAAAGCGAGAAGGACTAAACGACACTATCATATTTCACGCATTATGGCAAATTTTTGGCGACATGTTTGAAGAAAATCGGATAAAAAATGAGGAAGTTATTCAAGTTTTTTATTTTAAGTAGGACGAAAAACACGATTTTTTCCCGGTTTATGCAATTTTTTTTTGTGTGAAGCTAATGTCGCAAAAAAAATTGTTAGGCACTTTACATAAACCTCGTAATATGAGCCATGTTTTGCATTAAGTGCAAAGAACATCAGCTCATCCAGTCAAAAATTTTTTTTACGCGTGTAACTTTTTCTGCCAAACCCGGGGGCCTGGAGATTGAAATGGTGCTCTTGACCTTTCATAGCAAATTGGTAACATGTGTATAAAATTTTCTTTAAAATCGGTCGAGAAATATGGACGTGTATATATAGCATACACACACACACAGACACACACATAGACATCTTGTTTTATCGATATGGTTATTTTAGGAATTCGTCAGTCTTTCTTTCAAACCTTGTCTTTCTTTTGTTTTTTAGCAAGATCTCAGCCCTCAGTTAATACATGTTTAATAGTATATGCCGTTTTACATGCTCGGCATACGGGTTGATCTTTGTTTAGTAAGTACGAGTGGGTTATTCTTGTATAGCTAATGTGAACACGAGCCAGTACCACTTCTTTCTTATAAGATTTTCTGAGAGCTGACTTTCATTCTCCCAGTTGGAGCTGGATTGCGAGGAGTTTGTTGTGCGGGTTATCGTCCTGGCATGGTTGCCATTCCATTTAAATGTATTTATTAATAACTTCCTTAAAATCTGAGAATCGGATTTTGATCCTTGTATCCACGTTCATATTTAAAGCCTATTTGGCTGTTAGGTCTCCTTCATTATTACCTTTAACTTCAATGTGGCTAAGAATCCAGCATAGTTTGATGTTGTCGGAGTGAGCTCCTCCTTAATTCCCTAATTGTTCACTAGGGGTCGCTCTCCCTACACTACAAATACTGGGCGACTTCTTGCCTCGCTCTCTTTTTCATTTCTTCATTTCAGCGAACACATCTACAATGTAAGCTCTAGCAGAAGATTTCGTCTTCCCACTTGTGGAAGACGCTATGAACATTATACACACACACATGCACGTACGTAAGAACATTCACCAAAATACAAATTCTTTACGTTCACACACAAACACGAATGTTAATGTCTTTGTCACTTGTAAAATTGTTGTTTAATACACACGTTTGTTGACATATATATATATATATATATATATATATATATATATATATATATATATATATATATATATCTGTCTTGTTTGTTTTCTTTACATCTACTGTCTAGAGAAATGACATTATATCATCCACTTTTACTTACTCAAACAGCTTATACATACTGTTTGCATTATAATATTTTTGTCTTGAGAGATCAAGATTTGAGCACTCAGTGAATATGTTTAATAGTATATGCCGTTTTACATGCTCGGCATAATGGTTGATCTTTGTTTAGTAAGTACACGTGGGTTATTCTCGTATAGCTAATGTGAACACGGGCCAGTACCACTTCTTATAAGATTTTCTGGGAGCTGACTTCCATTCTCCCAGTTGGAGCTGGATTGGGAAGAGTTTTGTCCTCATCTTTGTCGCCATATATATATATATATATATATATATATATATATATATATAGAGAGAGAGAGAGAGAGAGCAAGATCTGAGCACTCTGTGAATATATGTTTAATAGTATATACTGTTTTACATGCTCGGCATGTGGGTTGATCATTTTTTGTTTAGTAAACACAAGTGTGTTATTCTCATATGGCTAATGCATAAGTGGACCAATACTATTGCTTTCTTGTGAGATTTTCTGAGAGCTGACTTTCATTCTCCCAGTTGGAGCTGTATTGCAAAGAGTTTGTTGTGTGGGTTATCGTCCCAGCATGGTTGCCATTCATTTTGAATGTATTTATTAATAACCTCCTTAAAATATGCGGATTGAATTTTGATGCTTGTATTCACATTCATATCTAAAGCCTATTTGGCTGTTAGGTCTCCTTCATTATTACCTTTAACTCCAATGTGGCTTGAAATCCTGCATACTTTGATGTCTTTATGCTTGCTAATTGTGCTTATTTTGAATAATATTTTCAGAATAACTGGGTTAGGGTTTGTTTTTCTTTTTAAACCAATAGGACAGATAGTGAGTCCGAAAAAATTGAAAGAATTTTTTTTGTTTCTTTCTTCTCTGAGATAATGTTGAAAGCTAGCTCGATGGCATAAGACTCTTCAGTGAAAACTGAGCTTTCTCTTTGGGAGGCATCTTTAGTTTGGTAATATTTTAACTCACTACTGCCCATCCTATCTTGTCCTTATATTTTGGCCCATCTGTATAGATGGGTGTATGGTTAGGCAATTTTACCGATAGACCCTGAAACTTATTCTGGAATGTGAGTAGGTGCGTTTTTGCTTAGGGAGATTATGTAATTCGAGCAGAGCTTCGCGTTGCTTGAAACTCCATTGTGAAATACTGACTGCTGTCGTTTCTTGTATATTAGGGAGTATGGTGCCAGACACCTTCACCAATGGATTTCATCTTGAGACTGTATAACATTATGGGAATAGATCGTAGTAATTCGGTTCGAAGGTCCTTCTATAAGCTGGCTTAGTTGGGCATGATTTTATTTTTACATAGTACTGTAGTGCCACATCGTAAACGTGGAGATATTTCATTAGTTTCTGTGTATAAGCTCACCGCTGGGGATCTCCTAAAAGCCACGAGTACTAACTTGAGGCCTTGATGAGCGGTTGCACTGATATTTTTTGGGTACGACTATCTGGCCGCCCCATATTTGAAACTATTATAATATATGCTGTATCGTACGCCTTTTCTAAGTCAAAAAAGACTGCTGTGAAATGTTCTTTCTGTTATGGGACCTTACCCATAATAACATAATGGACTATTCCATACGTAATAAATACTGCGCCTCAAGAGGAAGCAGGGAGTTCAGCCTGAAGTCGGGCGACAGGCTGACCGGCTGATCGATTGAACTCTCTGCCTTCGGGCGGGGAGGAACCCGAACGACGCTACGCCGAAGGGCGGATTCTCTTTCGAGGAGGTAAACCGACCCTGAACCCGTTTATACGGGGTAAATGGGCACATTTTTGGCCGAGCTCACGGACTCGGAGATCCCACGTTAAACCGGCCTTGTGCCACATGATGCCCTCGTGTGGGGGGTGACTAAATACCGTTCAGTCTGAAGTCTGGAGTGAGGTCCGTCAGAAGTCCGTCAGGAGTCTGTCAGTCAGTCAGAGCGAGCGAGTCAGTCAGTCGAGTCAGAGGCAGTCCTAAACAGAGTCGCATTCAGACAATTACTACTAAACCTGATTGTTCGTACTAACACTTTCTACTTCTCTGTATATATTCCTGTTTGTAATATATCTGTGTTATTCCATATCCGTGTTCGAGTTCTTCTTTATTGGTTCTACCTTGGACTATCACCTTGGTACAAGGAACCGGACCATAACACTTTCTTAGTGAAGACTTCCCTTACAAAAGTTTAGAAGCATTCTAAGAGATGCATAGAACTTCTTTTTGTCCCAAAAGCACATTAGTAGGCACTGATTAGGTCGTTAGTTTCCAGGTACCAAGTCAACCTGTTCTTGACCAATCTCTCCATAGTTTTATATAGGCAGCTCGTTAGTACTATCTGCCTGTAGCGATGACGAATGGCTGTCTCCACACATCTAGGAAGTTACATATATGAAACTAGTTTAGAGCGAAGTGGGGATCTGTATAATTTGATTAATGTCAATCGATTCTGATTCCCATTCAGTATGGGCCATTACTTGCAGAAGTTTTAGGGCGTAGCTTCATTTTGTTTTCAAATATTTTAGATGGGAAAAGAACGTTAATTTTTTTT